GGGAAGGAAAGGGAAAGCCTTAGAAAACCAGTCTGTCAACTAAAATTTCTTGATTTCTGTTCGATTCCTATTTATTTTGTAGAGTTTTCATCTCCTGATAACACCAAGCAGAGAATACCTTATGATCCACTTATTGGTAACAAGATAATTAGCACAACTAGTACCAATAAAGTCAGGACTCTCCAAACCCGAGGCAGCCTACATTATCGCCACACATTTCTTAAAACCTGTCATTGAACAGGAACGAGAAGTGCCTGACAGGATTTGAAGACTGGAGTCCCACGGCTGGGAGACAGGCCCAGCACTGCCTCACCGGTGGCCCTCTTCCCCGAGCAGGCCACTCCTGGGCCCAGAACCAGTAGCCTCCCTGGCCTCACAGCCCTGAGCTGATCGGCAGGCAGCCCCGTGGGGTGTCCCTTCCTGAGGTATCCACACCAGGGCTAATACTAATCTACCTTTAAACATTTTTTACAAATTCTTATTTTCTGTTTTGTGAATTACTTTTTCAATCTCCCCCTGAAACCAAGCAGACTACCTCGACAAGATGATAAAGCTCCACATCTCCTCAGCCAGCCTCCTCGTCTCTCGCTGAGCTAGAAGTTAAGCTGCCTGGGGAGGGAGAAAAGGGTGCCAAGATCAAAGGGGTTTGGAGACTTCAGAAGCTGGCACAGCCTCTGGTTGTGGGACAAAGCAGAGTCACAGGACAAGTCAGGAATCAGCAAGTGGCCACTAACCACTAAACATCAGCAGAACCAGGCCCTTCCTCCCCAAACAGTGGTATTTTATAACTCAAATGCTGAGCTCTAAAGTGATTTCAATATGCAGCCTCCCCTGAACATGTTTTTAATTATTGTGGGCAAAAGTAAGCACCAAAAGTATTTTAGCACTGTTTAAGACAAATCTAGTCTATATTTACAAATTATATTCCTGGTGTTTTTTCACACTGGTTTGGTTTCTAAGCACCAGTGACCCCATGCATCTCCTTGTGTAGTTTAGCATTAGTTGCCATTAGGCCTAGAGCCTTCAGGGCAGAAGATGCTTTGACCAGGGCTGGTGAGCGGCAGCAGCAGGTGGGGGTGGGGAGGGCAGAAGTTGGGGCAAAGGCTGAAATGTGTCCCAAGCTCCCTCTATGAAAGAGGCCGCTGCTACCCTGGACGGTGGCCAACACTGAGGGAGTGATGGTGTAAGTTGAACAGATGTCAAAGGTTCCTTTGTGACCGTGAGCCCTCAGAGTCCCTCTTGGACTCATGATATCAGAGGCAATACGGATCCTAAGAAATAACCTGGCTTGGTCTTTGGCAGGAGGAATGAACACTAACGACACACTCAAGAGGTTCATGTTTGGCAAGACCATGGAGAAACAGGCATTCTTATTACTGGTGGGAATGGATAGCAGCGGAACCCTGATGGAGGGGAACTTGGCACTATCTAACAAAACTACGCATTCATTTATCTTCTGATTTAGCAGTCCTACTTCTGAGAATGTCACCTTGATGATACACCCTCAACAACACAAGAATGCACATGCACAAAGGTATTCATCACAGCATGGTTTGCAACAGCAAAATATTAGAAACCTAGATATTCATACAAAAGAGAGTAAATACACTATGAAACAGTTGCACAATGGAGTATTTTGTAGCTATTTAAAGTAGGGGGAGGGGGAGAGCTATGAACTGCTGTGGGGTCCATATCCAGAATGTACTAAGTCGGGGGTGGGGGGGGGGCGGGAAGCAAAGTGCAAAAGAGTAGCCATGGTATGCTACACTTTGAGTAAGAGAGAAGAGGAAAGGAACCCAGAAAGGATACACCTGAGACTAAGGAGATTGGTTCACGACAGGGGTGAGCGAGAATGGCATGAAGGGATAGAAAGAGGAGGGTTGGGGAGATGATGCTTTTCTGATTATGTCTTCATACAGCTCTGATTTCTGGAACCATGTTAATGTTCCACATGCACAAAATAAGGAAATGAAATCAAGGATGGTGGGGGAGGTCCTTATCTGCTCAAATTGCATAATTAATAAGAAATAAAACTAATAAAGAACTATTCCACTCACCTGTAAAGGAAAGCAAAAGTAACAAAATAGTGCAATTATGTTACATCCCACATGCTCTTCTAAGAATCTGCTGTTCCCTCAGCAAGAGGTGGAATCCCTGCCCTTGTCCTTGAACTTGGGAGGGCTTATGTGACTGCTGTGACTAACAGAGCACGATGGAATGACATTATTTGACTTCTGAGACTAGGTGCTAAAAGGCAATACAGTGTCCGCTTGGCTCTTTCTCTGGGGACGTCTGCCTTGGAACCCAGTCACCATGCTGAAGGAAGCCAGGCCACCTGGGGAAGAACTGAGGCCCTCAGCTGAGTTCCCACCCAACAGCCAGCATCTCCTTGCCAGCCATGCGCGTGAGCCAACTGGGAAGCAGAGCCTCCTGCCCCCAGCCCAGCCTCCCCAGCTGACACTGTGTGGAGGAGAGAAGACTTCGCTGCCAGGCCTGGCCAAATTACAAATTTTTGAGCAAAATAAACAGTTTTTAGCCACCACTTTTAGGGCTGTTTGTTACTAGTCATAGATAACTAAAACCCACTCCGATGCCTTATTCAGGACCATCTCAACTACTAGATCACCCCCGAGAGTCAGGACATGATCCACACAGGCTTCAGGCGGCCCAAGTGGATGCAGGAACTCAGCACTAAGACTCACACACTTTCTTCAAAAGCCCTTCTTTCAAAGACAGTTATCTCTGTTCACAAAACTCTGGCTCTCTGGTTTCCTCGCCCTTGCAGATTAGAATCCCTAAACTAATAGGGTGGGGGTGGGAGATGTGGTAAGTGCTCAAGGAAAAGCCAGCTAGAAAAACACACACCCACACCAGTCCACCGCCGACGGAGACAGGATACTGCAGGGTCTGCAACGTGGGAAGGCTCAGACTGGGAGGAAAGGCCTTCTGACCTCAGGAGCCCTGCATGACAACGGGCCTGGGTTTCCATTTGTTGTACTGGCTCTTTATCAAGAATAGATTAAATCATTCCTGCTCGTTCTGCCTAAGGGGAGCAGGAGTACAAAGTGCTTTTTAGAGTTTCATCAGACTTAGGAGAGGAAAACAAGTGTTTGCCGGAAAGGAGGTCTATACTAGGAATCCGCCCCTGCCCCGGCAGCGCTGGGTTGTGGCTGCCTGTCGGCTGTCAGGGTCTCCCAGGCCCAGCGATTGCACGGTAAATGCAAAGGGCATGCAGAGCACGCACTGAGGAAACGATGTTCTAGAACCTGTTTGTTTTAATTTCAGGAACTCTTTTTAAAAAGCAAGCTTTTTATTAGATAATTTTATTACATCAGTGCACAATTCTCCTCCTTATTTTCCTGAGTGCAGGCAGCTGACAGCCCTGGGAGAACGGGAATTTAGGGGAGGGGGATTCACTAGTGATAAATCGGACATTTGCAGGGCAGTTTTACATTAACCCACTCTCACCCAGGGGCAGGTCCGCTTCCCACTCTTGCTGGTAACTTAGGGCAGACGGCAGAGGCAGTGGGCCAGCAAAGGTATATGGGTTTGTTTGTTTGATTGATTGTTTGTTTGTTTGTTTTTTGCCCTGATAAAACAGGTTACAAGAGGAGGGTCCACATGGAAGCGGCTCAATGAGATAAAGAGGCTCAATGAGATAAATAAAGGCTAAAGGCACAAAGAGGAAGGTAGCAAATGCTTCCTGTTAAGAACAGAAATAAGGCCTCTAACCGGTCAAATACTAGTAACTGAACATGGAAAAACAGGCCTCATGCTCCAGAGATGGGAGGCTGTGTCCCTGAACACTAGTGGAAGTGGCGGCAGGAGGCCCCAGGTCAAGCAGTTTCAGAATGGCCCACCGAAATGGCGGGCGTGGCGCTGAAGGGCCGCAGGGTCTCACATCCGGCTTTGCACCCTCCGTCGGCACAACTCTGAAACTGGGCTCCCTAGCTTCTGTGAGCCCACACAGAGAGACTATCGCCTAGTTTGCGAGACTCTTCAAGGGGTCAGAGTAAATTCTATTAAAGAGCCTAACAAAGTCTGCCACATGGTAGCATATATTATTTATCTTATCATAGACGGCCTTGAGTCAACGGCTAGATTGTTACACTTTGGAAATAACGACGGTGGTAAATCTTTGGAAGCACTGGACATAGCGAAGGAGTCTGAGAATTTGGGAATGCAATGGTTATTGAGGAATTAGAACTAACGATTTTGTGAACTTCCCTACCGATCACCCAGTTGTGCATGTAACCAGCTGGTTCTCTCATACCCCACATCTAATTCGTCAGCAAACCCAGCCAGCTCCCCTGCAACGTATACCCCCAGAGCAGCTCCTTCTCGCCGCCCGCAGTCACCACCTCAGGCTCAGCCCCGTTCTCCGCCACCGTCATTGCCTCCCACCCATTCTTCCTCCCACAGCCAATTCTCCAGGGAGAGCCACTGATCTTTTAAAACCTAAATCTGATCAATGTTACCCCTCGCTCAAATCCCTCCTGGCGCTTCCCATAGCCCCTGGAACGGATCCGGCAAGGCCCTCCCTCGGTCCCTCGTCCGCTGTCACTCACGCTGTCCTCGTCGCGGCTTCCTGAATACTCCAACCACACACCCAGCTTCGAGGCCTTGGCACTTGCTGGTTCCCCCCCTGAAACGCTCCTCCCGCACATACCCCCACGGCTCACTTCCTCACTTCAGTCAGGTCTCTATCCAAATGTCACCTCCTCAAAAAGCCCTCCTTGACCACCTGTCTACAAACAGAAGTTCTGGCCACTTTCTATCCCCTCTTATTTGGCTTTTTTAATTCTTATCACCACCTGATGTTTGTTTCTTGTTATCTCCCTGACTAGAGTGCAAGCTCCCTGAGGGCAGGGCCCTCTCTGTCTTGTTCATCACTGTGTCCCCATGCCTAGAACAGGGCTTAGCACCCAAGAGGTGCTTATGTATGAAGAAAGGCATTTAAGTGAAGATCAGAAAAGCCATAGCCTAGCAGCCAACATTACCTTTTTTCCAGCCGTGGGGCTGCTCTCTGCACTCTGCACGGGGCTCCTCTGGGGACTGCGGTTCTCTTGGGGGACACACCTGGCCATGTACACACTGTAGTCCAGAAGCATTTTCTGCCGCACGCTGCCAACCAGCTCCTTCTGCTTCGGTTGGGACATAATCTCCTCCACGCTGCCTTTACTGCTGCTGCGACTGTGGGTCAGGTGCCCCGAGGGACTGCTGTGCCTGCTGTGTGAGGGCAAAACGCCTGCAGCAAAGAAGTGAGGGCTGTTAATAGAGACGAAGGAAAGGACTGCAAAGTCATGAAATGTAGAACAAACGCCACTGGGTCATGTTGAGAAAGCAGCTAAAATGCTATAAAATAACTACTGAAAAACAATTTATAAGGTTATTTTCCACTCTGAAAAATACCTTCCACTCAAATAAGAGATAATTTTTTAGAACAGTTTTTATTCCTCCCCAAGAAGTCAGAGTAATGGGAGCCATGAAGTGCACTGCTAAGTACCTTCTTCTTTTTTTTCTGGTGATCTTTTAGGGTCAGAAAAGGACTGACACACCCCCAGGGGCACATGGCAAGTGGTCAGAAAGCTGATTGTTCACCCACAGCTCATGGTAATTACAAAGATGCCATCGTCCATTCAACAAGTTTCTTAGCAAGAACTTCTCTGGGCCAATTCCACATCAAAAAGAAGAATAAGCTATAATCCTTGCCCTTGAACTTAGGCACCTAGGAAAATAAATCACAATTTTCTGTAATAAGCATTGTAGCTAAAGCACAACTAAAGGACTTCTAGGGCAGAAAGAAGGGGGTACCACCTCCACCCAAGAGACCCCAGACTGATTTCCGCAGGTAGCGAGCGACGCCTCGACTGCCTCTGAAGAAACAGTGGGCACTTTCCTGGCCCTGGAGGGGGAAGAGCATTCCAGGGAAAGAGGACAGCATGTGTTATAAGCAGTGACAGGTCATGGTAAAGTTCAGTGAAGTTCTGTGCAGAGGTCAGAGGGCACAGGGACAGGAATAGGCAGAGGCCACGGCTATGGACTTAGGCATTTAGCAGTGTGTTGGGAAGCCAGAGGGTCCTGCATTTTCTTGGGGGACATAATCGGGGCCAAGGGCTTGACAGCACTAGATCCTTATTATAAATAGAGTTCTGCTGTTGCTTCTTCTCTCGGAGGAGACACAATATGTAAAAATAAATATAATCCTAAGGAACCAGCAAAGGGAAAACACATATATGTGCAAATGGTTCCATCACTCATTGCATGCTTCAGTATAAAGGGCTGCAGTGATTAGCCTAAAACGTAAATGATTCATGAGAACACACCATAGGCGGCAGACAGACAGTCATCAATTCAGAGTGGGCTTTCTTCCTTCCTCCCTGGGAATCTCAATTCTCCTACAGGCCCTTTAAAAATACATAAGCATTTAGCACACGTGCCATTACCTGGTTTACTTCCAGAGACACCAGGTGGCTTCTTGGTTTCCGACTTCAGCTTAGATGCCAGAATAAATCTCCTAAACCACTCCTCTTTTTCTCGGCCAGTTCTCCCAAAGAGATACAGTATCTGATCTCGCTGGCCAGATCTTGTTCCCTCCTGAGGATGGGGTGGCTTCTTAGGGTCCTCGCTTCCCAGGTCTCTCTCAGCTGGCAGCTTTTCTTCAGAAGTCTCTTTATCAGTCTGGGCCTTGGACATAAAGTCATCTTGTCGACCAAGCTCGATGCAAATGGGGTACTTTTTATTCCAGATTCGTTTTCGAGCCAAACTTTTAGGTACAAGATAAATCTACATAGAAGGGGAAATGATTTACATACTAAATTGAGAAATTGCTACACTGTGCATTAAAACAGGCAGAACACAAATGCAAACTTTATAGTATTTTTGACTAAAGTGATGAATGTAAAGTAATTACCATCTGTCTATAACAAGACTATAGAAACTGGAATAAATTTTCAGAAATGAATTGTTCTTTAAAGTTATTACAGAAAGTAGATGTTTAAGAATTTTGCAAGAGTTACAAATATCTATAATTTTCAGGTATTAATAGTACAATAACTATTTAGTGGATCTTTATCAACTAAGTTTGGATATCAACTGAAATGATGACCCTGGGCCAAACATAAGTTGGGAGGGAAAAAAGGAATTTATGAAACTAGATCTAGATGGAAAGCTGAAGTTTATTATCCTCAAGTTAAGAATATATTTATACTAAAACTATTTAAATATTTCTGTTATTTTGGAGAAACTTAAAGATCACTCACATGAGTGATAAGAAGAAAGAATCTAGATTCTTGTAATAACAAATAATTTACATATCTCAAAAACACAAGTATACAATGTTTCTATCAAAGTGTAGTTATTTTGCATATCCATAATTTTCACATTTATAGAGATTTCATTAGTTATTATCCTAGCACCAGCACACACAGCTTTTCATTTGACTGAAAAAAATTAACTCTCAGAGTGTGCCATGCCCTTGCTCCTTGAAGTGTGGTCCTCGGACCAGCAGCATGGGTATCACACCTAGGAGTTCATAAAAACGCAGACTCAGGCCCCACTCAGAACTGGAATCTGCATTTAAAATGATGCTCAGAAGATTCATGTGCATATTAACATTTGAAAGGTTCTACTCTAAATTATACTAATACTGTCAACACACAATCTTTTTAGGGAAAAAATACAGTAATACAACTAAGAGGTTTTTCATTCATCAAAATTTCCAAAATTAGTTGGGCTCACCTTGCTGTCTGAGAGGTCGTAGATTTTCTGGCTGATATAGGTGACATCTGGCTTTGTTTCATTGTAGCTTGCCCTCCTGGATATATTTTTATTGGGCTTTGAAAGTCTTAAGGTCCCACCCTCAAGCCGAACAAATACTGAATGTGTCAGAGTTGCATGGTAAGTTTCTGGATCATAGTTGTAAATTTCATTCATCCATCCCTGATGGGGAAAAACTTGCATTAGTACAATTAGAATAAACACACATCAGAGTCAATATGAAAATGATGACCGTTGTGTTTGGGACACTGAAACCAAACTTGATTATGACTCAAGTGGCAATTTAATGAGGACTAGGGGTTGCTGAGACAAGTGCTTAGCTTGAAGGATAATCAGTGCTGAGGAGCAATTTGGTATGTTTTTGATAAAAAGGTGGATCTGGGGGACAATGTCCATTATCCTAAATAAAAGAGTCTTTTCCTTTTTTAAAGCTGACAAGCAAATCAGGAAACTCAAAAGTTTGGTTTATGTAAACAGAGCAAGTCTTTTGCCCTGACCTCTTCTGGGGGGTGAGTAATCCTACCCAGCCTGGCCTTCCTAAGTAGCTAGACACGCCCTCTTCTCAGCCTACTTGCAAACAAGCTTTGAAATTTCACAAGCCATGTTAACTCATGCTACCATTCCAGGACCCAGAGAGCACCTACCACTCCATTTCTATCTCACTAAAATCATATGGTAAAGCAGATTACTGAGAATTAGGCATTAAATAAATCATAGATATGATCAATAGGTCCAAAATCAAAGGTGTAGCTCTGACTGGTGTGGGTCAGTGGGATGGGTGTTGCAAACCGAAAGGTCATTGGTTTGATTCCCTTTCAGAGCACACGCCTGGGTTGCGGGCCAAGTCCCCAGTTAGGGGCATGTGAGAGGCAACCAATAGATGTTTCTCTGGAGCCTCAATGTTTCTCTCCCTCTCTTTCTTTCTTTCTTTTTCTTTTTTTAAAAATATTTTATTTACTTATTTTTAGAGGAGAAAGGAGTGAGAAAGAGAGGGAGAGAAACATCAATGTGTGGTTGCCTCTCACGCAGCCCCCACTGGGGACCTGGCCTGCAACCCAGGCACGTGCCCTGACTGGGAATCAAACCAACCCTCTGGTTTGCAGGCTGGTGCTCAGTCCACTGAGCCACACCAGCCAGGGCTCTCCCTCTCTTTCTCCCTCCCTTCCCCTCTCTCTAAAAATAAATAAATGAAAATCTTTTATGTATTTCAATCAAGGATAAATAGTAATTTCAATGAGTAAAATTGTGCTCCAGGGTTCCCCACCCCCAATAAACATAAATGTACTTACATATTGATTTGGGGACTGGATGAAAAATGGTGAAGGGATTAGCCAAAAAACATATATACATAACACACAGACATGACAACAGTGTGTTGATAGCCAGCGGCAAAGAGGGTAGGGGACAGGTGGAGGTGGGCAAGGTGGGGAGAATGGGGATGAAAAGAGACTTGGCTTGGGGCGCTGTGCGCACAATGCGGTGCAGATGATGCTTTACTGAGTTGTACACTTAAACCCTGCATGGTTTAGCGAACCAATGTCACCAATAAACTCAATTAAAAATACTTCAAAAAATAATCAAAATCATTGTCCGAACACAAAAACAGAGGTCCAAATGTGCATTCCCTAAAATATAAGATACGTCCTTAGTATACTTGGGTCTCCAGAATGCAGTGGAATGAGAATGAACGGTAGTGTTTAGTAAACTGCAACCCTAATGGGATTAAAGCAGATTCTCTCCAAAGGAACATTATATTTCTGAATTTATATCAATCTCTGAAAGAGGTGCTTACATGTTGTGTTAATATAATATCATTTGCCTATTTTCTACACAGTCATCTTTCATTTTCTTATTGATTTGTAAACATTCTTTATATATCATGGATAGCAATTATTTGCATTTACAAATTTTATTCTACTCTGTCTTTTAATCATATACTGGCTCATTCTTTCTCCTGCATGAATTTTATTATGAAGATGTTAAGGATTTTGTATGTTCAAATTTGTTATTTTTATAAAATTTAATAACCCTCAAAAAAATAAAAGAGCTAATATATTGAAGTGTATGACCAACACACAAGAGCCCGACACATCATAAAACTGTACTAAAGCTAATCTCATAGCTATCATCAATATCAATTATTTAAGACTCTGCCTGCCCCACAGTACTTTTTCAGATGACATGGGTAGCCCAGGTCTCTTTAAAAGAAGTTCTCTAGGGAATTTTAATTAATGTCTTCCCATCCACCCACCAACCCCTATTTTTTAAATGCCTTTCTGATGCGCAGAGAAACACTAATGATCAATACACTGGAGTTGAGACTGTCATTCTTCTCAAGAAATAGCCAATTTCACAGTGAGAACTGGATCTCACACTGAAGTCTGGAGGGCCTCTTGCAAAAGAGGAGTCCTCAGATTTCTCTTTATTCATTTATCCATTCATCAAAACATAGGTTGAATCTCTCTACAGACCAAATCATGAGCCAGGAGTAAATACGAAGATTAAAAACAGGATATCATTCTTTACCCAAATCAGTAGAGAAAGTTAAGCCTTCATTTCACCATCTTATGTCCTCATTAGAGCAACCATAAAAAATTTGTCACAAAGAGTCCGCTGAATGTGTTACGGAAATAAAATTAGGCAAACATATTTCTTTGTCTTGGGAGGCGTGTGTGAAATTTATGAGCTAATTATATAGATTTATACACACACACCCACCCTTTTTTTTTTCTTCCAAAATGTTGACTCAGTAAGCAGTAGCCGTGGGAAGATGGTGTGATCTAGGTATTTGTAAAGAAACATCAATGATCAGAGCAATGAACTGAAAAAGGAAACAAGCAATACAGAGCACAGGGAAGTAGATGGTATTGTCATAGCATCAGTTTGGTGGCTCTATTTAGCGAAGGGCAGAACTAAGTACATTTTTTGGTTCATATTCTTTTTTGTCTTTTTCTTTAGTATGTTATCATTATGAAGTATATTCATTGATTTTCAAATGCTGAACCAGTCTTGTATTCTTGGGATAGTATATATTGGTCATAATGTGCTGAAGTTGGATCATACCAAGCTCATGAGAGCCGATTCCACACATGTCTTCCCAAGGACACATTCAGTGACTTGGGAGCTTGCAACTGACCGTGGTGGGAGTTCTTACCCCATGGAAATCAGCAAACAGTACAAAAAGGGCTTCCAGCCCACCCCAGACAGCCAGTTTACCAGCACAACACTATTATTATCCTTCTCATACATTGCTGAATTCTATTTGCTGATACTTTGTTCATTTTCCCTCTTGGGCGACATGCTGCTCAAGCCATGGTTTTCTCCATGCTACCAGTATTCTACTGACGTACAATCTGCATATGGCAAAAGGAAAAAATCTTATACATATGATTTTAAAAATACTACTATTAATACTTATAATAATACTGTAGCTGACATTTAATCTCATTTATGATCCAAGCACCTCAAGGTACATTATCTACTTTACTTTTACCAATTCCCTACAATTTCAAAAGTGAGGAAGTGGTAAAAAAAGTTAAGTGATTTGCCTAGAGAGTGGTTAAAAAAAAAAGTGGTCTAGAAAGTGGCAAATTAAACCAGGTCTACCTGACTCCGAGGTCCAGGCTCCTACTCCCCCTTCACTTCACAGACCCGCCTTCAGCCTGGCTAACACCCAGGCATCGCTCAGGTCATGGCAAAGATGACACTGCTCTCAGGAAGCTGCCCTGGTCACCGAGGTTACTTTCCTCCTATCCCTGCATCTGCTAACTCCCTGGTTTACTTAACTGCAAACTCTACAAGACAATCATAATTGTAACAAGTGTTTGTCAACTGAATATATAAATGTAGCTTAATTCATAGGGTGGCTGTGGGGATTAAACAAGAGCTGTATGTAAAGCACACGTAAGTGGGACAGGCTGGTGTGCCCTTCACAGCCTGGAAGTACAGTTCCAGATGCCTAAGTGGAGACAAGCAAAAGAATGAGCCGAGACCCTACTCAGTGCAGGGAGCTGTAAAGGTTACTTGGAAGTAGACAACTTAGTTCCTGTTCCCAACGAGAAAAACCAAGTTATAATTACACAAAACAGCACAGGGGAAGAAAATAAGTAACCTCAGAAAGAATCTTAAGAGTAAAAAATGGTAGAGCTTTTCAGAACAGAAACTGAATAAGCTGTATCTTACATGGCAGAAAGAGATGCGTTGTGACTGGAACCCAGGTTTCCTGACTCCTATGTAGGGCTTTTTCCAGAACACTACACACTTTGATGAGAAACCAGAAGACATTCATGGGTGCTCTGCTTAACCCACATTAATGAGGCATCCAGGATGCAGACTGGCCTTTGGGAGGCTCAGGCCAAGAGGTCGCCAGGCATGACTCTTGAGTCCCTCTCATTCTGTCCCCCTAACCTAATTGACCCCAAACCCCTACTGACCCGAAACAAGGTTGCCCTTGCAGAGAGAAATTTCCCAATGCAAACCCTAATTGCTTTTCATACTATCAATCAATCAATTTTTTTCCTTGGGCTTAACCAACTCCCTGGTAAGCTACACATGGAATTTCCAGACCTAAGTGGTTAAATAATCAATGTGGAGAGCAGTGTAGCAACTCCAAGGCCTTCACCCTGTTCTCAAATTCTTAACTCTAAATTTCTTACTAAAATATTACTCCAACTTTATTTTGTTATGAGACATGGGAGTGGGTATAAAGGGATATAACATATAGTTAACTCATCGCATTTCAACATTGCATGTCAGCTACAAAACTCAGAGATGTTCTCAACCTACACTAAAGCAACCCAGACAAGCCTCATTTCTTTCTGAAGCTGGAGCTGTTAAAATGGAGACAGTGCACGCCACTGAGGAACAATGGCCACAGTCAGCCAGGCTGCAGCTGTCTGGCCCACGGACTGGTCCTGTGATCCAGTTTGTAAAAGGTCAGGTTTTGGGGGGTTTTTTTCAATTCTCTGGTGGATTTAGAAGACATGTCTGGCTGAAAGTGTAAACTACAATCTATAAAAGGGCTCATTTAATACTTGGAAAGATTAAAAGCTACAATTAACCTTTTGCAAAATAATAAAGTCTGGAAGAACTACTACTGGGCTCACTTGCAGCTGCGGCGCCAACCAGGAGGGTCAAGGCCAATGCTCTCTTGGGCAGCCTGG